AAACTTTTTGGCACTTTAACAGAGTCGGACGCGCAATATTATGATGAGCAAATAAAACTTTTGAAATCAGATGAAAATCATTTATTGAATCTTATAAAAGAACAAACTTCTGTCTCTGAATCTTCCTTAGATAATTTCAAAATTATTAATGAAGCAATCACTTCATTCAAACAAAAACTTTCTGAAATGTCAAGTTTTATGGAAAGAGAAGAAGAATTTGAAATAAATTCAGTTCAAACTACTAACTATCTTTTCTCAGTTTCCGAAATTTTCTCAACATTTATTTTAATTACTGAAAAATATACATTGGAAATCAATAATTTCCTAGATATTATCTTATATGCCGAACGAGGTCAATTACATCCTTTGATTATTACACCTCTTAAACTTTCTGCTGAACTAGAAAAAATTCAATCACACTTGAAAATAGATGAAACATTTCGTGTTCCGTTAGATAGGAAAAATATCGATGTTTTTTACAAATTTATCGATGTTACTATTTATTTTTATGAAGACAAATTGAATTTCATTCTGAGAATTCCCCTCATTACAACTCAAACCTTTGAATTGTATAAAATATCTGTTATACCTATGAGAGTTATGGAAAACTCATATACTTTTCTCTTACCAGAGAAACCATTTATTAGTATAGATCAACTTAAGCATAATTATTTTCTAATTGATGGAAATACTATTGAAAAGTGTTTTAATTTTCAATCAGGGTTCATTTGTAGACAAAAATTTCCAATTTATGTAATGAATGACATGTCAAATTGTGAAGCAATGTTATTTTATATGCCTGAATCCATTCCTGATTCATGTGATCAACGAGTTATTAATATTAACAATTCTATTTTTATTCAACTTGCTACGAGCAACACTTGGTTGTTCGTTTGTCCGAAACCAGATATATTACATATCAATTTCAAGAAATCAAAAATATCAGTAAATATTGAATCAATTGGGATTCTGAAACTCAAACCTGGTTCAATTGCTTACACTGAATCGATTATTTTGCACTCAGAACAAATATTCTCAAGCACCATAAGTGCTCCAGAAATTATAATTTACACTCCTATAAATACTACGATTTTCAGTGAACTAAGTGAGACTAATTTAACTGAAATATTGCCTATTTCAAAATCTCTTATACATACTGACCAGATTCGGAACCTTGATAAATATAGTCAAAAAGTTAGAAAACTAAGGGAGGACATATCTAAAACTCGTTTATCAGATGATAATTCCTTTTATCCAATTTCAGTTCACCATATTACTATGTATATTGTATTATGTACAGTGTTTTTATTTCTTATATTGTATTATTTCTATAAACATAAGTATTCAAAATTGATTTTTAGCAATAAGAGTAATGCTACCCCAGAAAATGAAGCCGAATCTATTGAATTGCAAATTTCTGAAAATAAAAAGGAAAAACATGTCAAGTGAAATAAAATTGCAACTTTTTTGGAAGTTACAATTTTCTTTTTAAGGGGGGAGGTGTTGTGAACTGCTATGCTGTGTCACCCATTATATTATATTCGCCTTGTATATGAATATTATAATATTATAACTCAGTTGTTCTACTTAACATTGTCTACACTATTGCAACATTTGCTTATTTTACAGTTTTATTGTAACAACGACCTGTTGCAGGAAACCATGTTGCTATTTGTTTCTATCTTTATTTTATATATTTCTCTTTTTGTCTATTGATGGCGTGATGCACTATGACTGTCACGTGACTTGAATGTTCTTTAAATAAACTTTACCTAGCCACGCGCAGGCAGTTGCAGTTAGATATTCATTCTAAATTTTACCTTTTGTCAACTCAACCAATGTACTAATTCCGCCAATGAAATCACCAATGATTAAATCTAGTCGATAAGTATCCAGTGTTTTGCTCTACAACTTACGACCACCCCTTTCCCAGCCTGACCGCTCGCAACACTTGTGGAACGCCGGAATTGATGCCAATGGCGTCTGACGATACACCGTCCATCACCATGTGAAGCGATCTGCCTGAAAGAAAACTCGATAAGAGATGGCATAGCTGAGGTGGTAAGCCGTATGATGGTAGTTTGTGGAGGAGTCCTTCGTGCCATGTTATTGGTTGACGTTTTTGAAAATTTTCGAGACATGTGTTATACAACATACGGATTAGATCCTGCTCATTACTATACTTTGTTTGTGGAGGAGTCCTTCGCGCCAAAAACGGTCGAATGCTTTCGATATGTCCAACGCGACAGCTAGAGGTTCTAATGAAGCTTGCCATAAATGGGTGACGTAGGCAAGTAGATCTCCAGTAGATCTTCGGTGGTGAAAGCCGTATTGTCTATAATTGATGATTCCTGAGCTCTCTAGATATTTGATGGTCAGATATAATCATATTTTTCTAGGAGTTCCTACTGTTTTAATTTCCATTTCTTCGTTTTGATATGAATTATTGTCCTTTCAAGGTCTAATTGTGGGCGATTTGACATGGCAAAATCTAGTTTGTTCACATGTTTTGTAAGGGTTGTCAGGGCATTGAATGAAATCTCCCCTAAAAAATAATAAAGTGGCCCTCTAAGGAGAAAGCACTAGAAATTTCCGTGGATTTCTACATTATGTCAGGAATCCAAGGAGTTATTAGTGCTATTGATGGGACATATTCAGAAATTGAGGCACCTAGCGAAAATTCGGAGGTAGACTCGAGAAGTCTGTGAAAGTTTGTTTCCTTCAAATAATTCATAGGAACTGATTTTTCATGATTCGAATTCATATGCTGTATTCATGAACTTGAGATTAATTTGCCTTATTACAGTTTTGATTGAATAGGTTTCGAATCGGAAATGCTTTCATGGCATAACACTTCAGGCAGTTTGTGACAGTAAACGAAAATTCACTGATGTGTTCACTGGGTATCCAAGTTCTGTGAGTGATGTTAGGATCTGCAAGAACTCACAAATATTTAAGGACATCATCAACAATCAAGATTTTTTTAAGATAATCAGTTTATACTTGGTGATAGAGCTCACCCTATTCTAAATTGGTCTATACCACCATTTATTGATGAGGTACTACGAAGATACCACAAAACCTTCAACAGACATCATGCAGAAACACGACAGGTTATCGAAAGGACATTCGGTTTATTGTTTGGAAGAATCAGAAGGCAAAAATACTTGAATATGAATGGAGCAGATTTAATCCTACAAACCATAACAGCCGCATGTGTATTGCATAATTTTTTTTATGTTCTAGCTCTCACGAAAAGGGATATCCTGAAATGTTCAGAGAACATCGTGAGAACCGAGGGAAATAAGGTAGGAATTGGTGTTCTTCTTGAATTTCTGGAGATTATATGCCTCAGAGAACACTTTTCTTGGCAATGTATTCCAGAGCCTCGCTGTTTATTGGATGAACGAGAGATGTTCTGCAGGTCTCCAAAGTGACCAAGTAGGGGTGCGAAGCCTCAATTCGACGGGTTAATCTCGCGGGGGACTGCCAAGGCAGGAACAATTGTTGATGTTTCAGAAGAGCATCGTCAATGGAAATATCTATAAAATAGAGCCAGATCGACACATTTTCTACGGTGTTCCTGAGAATTGCCCTTTTTTGAACAGAATCTAACAGTTTCAGAGTTTGTTTGGGTGCTGCACTTCAAATATGGGAACAGTATTCCAAGAATGAATGATGAATGTTACAGGTGATGAGGGAGATGCTGGTTTAGCAAATCCATTCAACCAACATCAATCCTCCCAACAAGGCAGTGAACGGCGAGAGTACATTGCTCATAGACTTTCCAGATCAGAAGAATGAGTTTTATGTTAACCACTATTTCTTTTTGAATTTTGTGTGATATCTTCGAGAGTTTGATTAACAATAAATGAATAAACACAGAAAATGAATGAAACTGAAATTGTTTCATTACCTACTTTCAAGTATAGCTACCTATATGAATTTTCGATTATTATAATGAAAAATATTCCAAAGAACTGCATAATAACCATTAGGCTATAAACACAAAAACAATGTTTTATTGAATAGGGAACCAGGAGACTAGTGATTGCAATTCTAATCAGTATCTTTATTTTTAAAGACCTCTGCTTTATTTCCAAAATGTTCGTTGTCTCTTTTCCTCATTGGCTTCCCTCTTTTTCATTTCATTGCAAAATTTTTGCTGCTGTTCTGCTATTTTCAAGCCTTTTGTTTTCAATTTGTGGATTCTGATGCATTAACATCAGCTTCATCAATGTGTGTATCATCAGTGAATAAATCTGCATAGATGGCATCATCAGCACTCATGTAAGTTTTACTTTGCATAGAGCTTCTTGAACAAGTAACTGATGTTGGGATCATTTCCAAAAATGTCTTCAAACTGGTCGAAGTACTCAAAAAATTATTCTGTCAGAACCTGTAGCTTATCCAGATAGGTTGTCTTTTTTCTTGGCGTATTTAGATTTCAAATACTTGAATTTATTTTTGCATCGCTCTCAGGGTTTGTAATGAAATGAATTTCCACACTTTCTCATTCATCATTGTTGTAGACTTGAATAAATGTACATATTCCTGAAACAAGTTGATTGATTTCTAAATTTCATTCATTGTCCAAACTGTATGTTCATTTTCTGTTTCATCTGAACTCGCTTCATTTTCATCTGTTACAAGTGATGTCTTGACTCTCCTGCATGGAAATACTTGAGATCAGATAGGTACTATATGAATAGGTAGATAATGTAAATATAGGTGTACTTACAGATGCAGTGCAGTGAGCACCGCAGAACCAATACCAGGAACAAGCAACGACTATAGAAGTACTGAAATATCACAAGATCTGGACTTACAACAAAAGGCCCACGCAGGAAGATATAGAAGCCACGGAAACATTCCTAAAACTGCGCACAAAATATGCAGAAAAGTTTGATGATCGAAAAACCGTGAAGTCACAATTGAAAAAAATTGCAAATGAAATGTCTGAGATTTTTTATGGGTGAAGGTGAAGAGGCTGTTAAAAAATGAGGCTGAAATTCAGCAACCTTCAGAAACAATATCTCCAATATATCAAGCATGTGAAATCTACAGGCGAAAGCCAGAAGGATCCACCACTGTTTTTTGATTTGATGCATGGAATTCTTGGGGAGAAGGATAAATCAAACCCCACTAACCTACAAGACTCCTTGCAGGATGTCTCCAAAGATGATGAAATAGACTGTAAAGATGAGTCTCAAGGTGCTCCAGATAAAGTTCGAAAGAAATTGTCAGGAAAAAAACATGAGAGATGACATACAAAATATGTTCAAGAAATCAAGTAATTATCAAAGTCAGTCACAGACCCATAGACCAAAGAGTTCCAATGTAAAATAGTTAGAATTAGCTGTCTCTGAATCAGAAGATAGGAAAAAGCATATGTCCAAATTAGAAAATTTACTGAAGAAACAAATAACCAGAGAGATGAACTTCTTTATAAACTTGACAAAATAATTGATGTATTGTCATCAGCCAGAAAAAGAAGTCGAGAAGTCACAGTAGTTAGTGATATTTCAATTTCTTGCTCAAGAGAATCTGTATTATTTTTTGTTACATTCTGAATATATGTTTGTTCTCCAATTCGTTAAATTTACTTCAAAATATCAATTTACATAATTCCTATCATTACAGTCTCATATATGGACAACTATTATTGCAGATTAATATTACAAAATAACTCAATTTCCTAAGACTCCCATAAGCATGGATATTATGAAATTAGGAGTTTTTGAAATTTAAAACAAGAAACACATAATTTGGTATGAATATATTCAGGAAAGATACATTCATAAAAAATGAATAGATTTGTCAAAACAATCTGTGGATGAATCTGGCATGAAAGAACTGGGTGATATCAAAAATTAAATAATTCTTGTATGGTTTCTAGTTGTCCATAAATCTTCCATTATGTTATGTATCTTTACTTCCCGTATCAAATTTTGCAGCCTGTCATCATCAGCAAAATCTGCAGCAGAGTAGGGTTCTTCAAAATAGTCTTCATCATTCCACTGATCATGATTTATTATGCAGAAATTATGAAGAATACCAGCAGCTATAGATATTTGAATCGCTTTGCTGATTGAATATGTATTAATATATTTCAGTCTCGCCCATCTACCCTTCAAAAATGCAAATGCATTTTCTATATTCACTCTGCTCGATAATAAACAAAAATTGAAATACTTCTGCTCATCATTTAAATTTGTTCATATGATGATATGGCATGTTTCTGTTGGAAAATATTCATATTTTCCATGTCGTTCAATCTCCCTGTATAAGGATGCATGTGAAAAAAACTGCAAAAATATGTGGATTTTAGAAAAATTGGTTTCAATTTACCCTATTGATCTCCTGGACAAATCACAGCAGTTCAACTTACTCTTGCATCATGGGCACATCCCGGAAATCCTACAAAAACATATGTGAAGAGTTTTTCAGCTGTACTAACAGCAGTTAAAATAATAGAGTGATGTTGAAATCTGTCGATGTAACTGTCTTGCTGTGCTACTGGTACTTTTGAATTTATATGTATACCATCAATGGCTCGAAGAACTCCTGGAACAGATGAATTCATCATTTGATGATATTGATGAAAAGGTTATTACCTAGTGTACATGCTAGGTGATTTATAAGATAGTTACTGAGCTGGAAATGATGGAAATCTGATTCGACAAATCATCTGTATTTCCAAAAGACAGGCCGAATACTTCTGTCACAAGTTGTTGTGATTCATACCTAAGAGTATTATCTGAAAAAAAAAATAGTCAAGTATCACCATCATTACATAGGTACCTACTGACTAGATATTTGCAAAACGAATAAACGAAGTAAGAACAACATGTCATTGATTCCTTGTAGAAGAACATTTCCTTTTTCATTCAAATTAACATTTCCTTCAGTATTCACAAATAAATTGTGCGAATGGGTCGATATTATTTTATTGGAATTCATCGTTTCATCCCAACCTCAAATCTTCATGACACTCATGACCCTATTTTCTGAAGTAAAAGGTTGATGGCTCGACAACTCACATCCGGGACCTTGAATGATTTCGATTCATTACACGGCGAACATCCTGAACGCGTTAACCACTTCGAATGCGCCTTCGTCTCAGTTCGACAAGTTTTCATCGTTGTATACATGCAGTAACTGAGATAATTAATGATAATATTTCAGACAATTACATACAATTTCCCAGTACATGGAAGACAGGCAAGTCATTGAAACTGAATGCATGGCCAGGTGGCAATTTCCTGGAATAATCAAAGGTATAGATGGTACACATATAGCTATTTTGAAGCCATCAGAGAATGAACACAATCTTATCAATCGTAAAGGGTGTCACAGTATGAATGTACAAGTTATATATGATCATAATATGAAGTTCCTGAATGTAAATGCCAACTATGGTGGAAGCACTCATGACTCCTTTATATGGAGAAATTCATTGATTCAAACATATATGAGACATCAAGATGAGAATTAAAGAGGAGTTTATTCATGGCTCATAGGTGATTGTGGTTATCCTCTCCAGCCATACTTGATGACACCCATTCCGAATCCCCCAGAACACAGTCCTAAGTCTGCTTATACAATTATGCTCATATAAGAGCACGTAATGTTGTTGAGAGAGCTCTTGGAGTACTAAAAATGGGATTCAGGTGCCTCTTACGAGAAATAGTAGCTAGATATGACCATGTTTCTGTTGCAAATCTTGTGATAGCATCTATAGTGCTGCATAATATGTGTGTACCTGGAAAAATTCCACTGCTATGTAGGTATTATCTTTTATTTATACTGTAAGATTACCACCAGAAACTGAATTGTGAATTCCCTAAAATGAATCTTACTTGACTACTCTGTCACTCACTGTTACTGCCATTTCTATTGTGTGATTCACAATATGCTGTTAACAAAATGCTAACAAAAATATTCTTCAACAGGTTATGCCAATATTCTGATCAGATATTTTCCAGAACAATTAGTTTGATTATTTCAGGAAATTCGTTGGCGTGTTTTTTTGAGCTGCATTTTGTAGCAATAAATTTTGAATGGAACATGGTCATGAACAAAATATATTTTAAATGATTTCTTCCAGATATTCAATGAATCATAAACATAGAAAAGGCAAATGAACTGGTAATCTTGTCCTCTCCATTACTGAGAAAAGATAATCATAAACAGTCTAATATTCTCTAGAAGAGAAAATCTCTCTGATCATAATAAACGAAAAACTGGAAATGAACCATTGCTCCTATTCATTATATCATTCAGTAGCTATAATGTTCAGAGCAGTTCAAATACCATGAACATATTCACATAACTCTTTGATTACATTTTTTATATCTCTGAGATCTGTTTTTGTTTCTCTATACATATTTTTGAATCATTTTTCGTATCAGGATTCATTTTCTTTCTTTTTTTTTTGAAGAAGTTCTTGAATTATCATGATCCTTATTGGTTACCCTCCTGAAATATAAATGCATAGTTTTAAGACAACCAGGAATAATATTTAGAATCAACTAATATTCTTCATAATATTAACCCTTTTTCTTGGTTAATGTCTGCATTGGAGGTGGAAGGCAGAATAATTGCATTCTCTTCATCAGGAAATATTGTATTTGCCTCCTCATTCCTCTGTTCGAGAAAAGTTGATCCTATGGCATGTGGAGGTGACATGAAGCTGCACTGAAATGGGCAATTATTAGTATTTTTAATCCAGTTTGAGACACATTTTTCTTATAGAAGTCCCAAGATAATTTACTTACACCATTTTCAGGCAGCCCACTGCCCTGAAAGAAGGAGTCTCATAGATTATTCAATATCCTTATTTCTAAATCAGTAAGTGGACTGATTTTGGGTTGTCCGATGGCTTTCTCTTCAAGTTTCATTTGAAGTCGATCCAAATCTGTAGGAATCAAAAAGTTATCTTGTTCGAAATAGAACGAGTAGGTATAGATCATCAATAAAACTATTAGAGGCTATTGGATTGGGTAAACTATGAAAACTTCACTAGGTATTCTTATTTCAACTTGAAAAACTTCAACTACCTTCTTTCATTTTTCACTAATTCTTCCAGTCCTAAAGCATTTAACTCTTTTTTAATTGTTCCCAGAGTTTCCTCATTCTTTCTTCAACAACAGGGCCATCTATTCTGCCCTTGGCTACTCCTGGAAATTTTTCCATAAAATTGACAATCAATTCTCAGTGAACTTGGGTTACTCTGAAAGCCATGCTGAAGAATATACTATTATATATGTAGGTAGGAGTTAGGTAGGTACTCCATGAAGTGAACTTGAATTTGAAAGTTTTAATTTAGTCCAAAGTATGTTAGTGAATACTATAGCCGAAATCCGCAGACAAAAAAAAATGAAAACTCCTTCCTTCGTTGACAGAATTTTATAATAAACAAAAAGCAACGATGAAAAAGAACAACATGATATTAGACCAAAATGGATATATATACTTTCGACTCACGACAAATAAGTGGCTGTCGTCAACTAATCGTTAGAATATAGCCTATTTGCAACACTAATATGATTGTCAAATAGCTTGGGAATCGACAAAATCGTGATTACGATACGATTAACGTCCGGTCGTGACTTCGAAATCCCGCTGCAGGATGTTGGGTCTGATTTCTTCGTAATAGATTTCCTTGGATTTGTATCAAAAGGTAATAGACTCGAAAAATCTGACATTTGACATTCTGAGTGCCATTCTTGTCAAAACCCTATCGCACAAATTAGACAGTTCTGACAGGAATGAAGCAGAAGTCACACATAACTTTTGACATGAATATAGAACATAGACCCATAGAACATAATTATCTGCTGAACACGGAAATAGATTTTTCAGTACCGAAACATCATATTTTGGTGCTAACAGCCGATAGTTATAGATTCATGACATATTTCAATATCATAACAATCTTCGTGAAATAATGATAGATCTATTAAAAGTGAGGACAAGAACAAAATTGGTAATGAATCTAAATCGTTCATGGTCCCGTGGACCTATCCAAGATGCTCAGGGTTGCCAATCATGGCGATTATTCGCCATTTGAGGGATATTTCATTCACATTACCAGTTTTGTTCAGGGCTGATAATCCCATTTCATTGTGTTTAACCATGACATCATTTCCGATTTAGTACACCTCACCTACCTCCCCTAGAGTTTACCAACTCCATTGTTGATGAAGGTGGTTGGGTTAAACTTGAATATTTGGAAATTGGAAATGAATGGAGTAGATACACG